GAGACTGCTAATAGAAGTGAGGAATACATGTGTATAGACTGCCCAGAACCTGAGCTATTCTCCTACTGCCATACCTATGACCCTTATTTCTGCTCATTTTTTTATGTGGTGCCACAAGTAAGTATTAGAAAATTATAGGAGTATATAACCACAATATAAAAGATACTTAAAGAGAGCCTATATAATATGAACAGTTTGATTTTCTTTCTTTCTTTTGGTGGTACTGGGGTTTGGACTCAGGTCCTCACTAGGCAGGCGCTCTACTACTTGAGCCATGCCTCTATCCCTTTTTGTGTTGATTATTTTTGGAATAGGGTCTTGCTTTATGCCCAGGCTGGCCTGGCCTGTAATTATATTTGTGCTTCTCCACTTAGCTGGGATGAGAGATGCATGTCGCTGTACCCAGCCATTGACTGAGACAGAGTTTCACAAACTTTTTACCCAGACTGGCCTTGAACCAAGATCCTACCCCATGCTCTGCCTCCCAAGTAGCTAGGATTACAGACTGAACCATCACACCCAACCACTTTCTTAATCACAAACAATATTAACTAAAACTGGAAGACATCGACATTTTGGTGAGTTGGTTTTCATGTAAGGTGTAAGAAATTTTAAAATGCTCTAGATTTGAAAGAAATTCTGGTTGCAGAAAAACTTGACAAAAGCCCTAAGAGATCTAATAAGTGGACCACACTAGAATTTTGTAGGTGATTGAATAGATAGAAAGTGGGTCAATATAAGTTGGAAACTAAAAATAATCTTAGCTCAAATAATTTTACTGAGAAAGTAGTCAGCTTACATAGCAGTTTGGTACACAGTTTTCTTTCTGTAAAGTTTGTTCAAGTGAATAAATATCCATCCATCTATCTACCCACCCATCCACCCATCTCTCCATCGGCCCATCCATCCATCCATCCATCCACCCACCCATCTACCCACCCTTCTCTCTAACTAAGTCCCATTCACTGTTTAAGGACCTAGAATGACTCCCTTGTTATAAGCTCATGAGAGGGTGGCATGCATTTATACTGTGCCACTTTAGACAGACATGCTTCTAATGAATAAAGACTAAAAGCATGCAAAATAAATGAAGTGCTTTGCCAACACTGCCCTTGATTTTTAGTTTCTGTCACTCTATGATTTATCTACTAGGTGTTTGGCCCCCTTAATTTATACATAAAATTGTCTGTGTATTTTTCTGGGGGAAGTGGGCACAGTTTTTTTCTGATTCTTAAAGATTTCTATGACCCAAATAAGATTATTAAATATTTCTGCGAGTACTATTGGGTAACCAAAAATACTAGAAAAATGGATTACAGGGTAATAGATAATCTTTTGATCTAATTATAATCCATATTATTCATTTTCTTTTAAATAGAGAAAGTAAGGTATCTGACTAATCTGAATAGAAATAAGTATCTTTGTAGAATCTATAAATTGAGTCATATAATAGTACTTGTTTTTGGGGGAAAATAATGGTTGGGTGTGATCAATTTCATATAGCTAACCTCAAAGAAAATCAGTAATGTAAAAAGAGTCCCCAGTGTCAATTATTATGTTATTTCAAAGATAATGAAAACTGTGTTTTCCAGTTTCCTAGCATCTATTTAACCATTTTGCTATACTAAATATCCTGTTAGAAATACTTCTATTCTTGACACAACCTTAATTAAAACCATCAAATTTACCAGTGTTCATATTCTGCTACTTTAATGAGACCATACTTACATATCATATCTCTTAGAATAAAGTAGTCAACTCACAATTAATAAAAAGATAGGCACAAAAAAACCTCGATCTTACTTGTCTGGAAACTGAATACAATATATAAAATATATTCTTGTAAACAAACAACTATTAATTTTCTTTACAGAAGAACACTTACAAAAATTTCTGGCCCCTAGGGACAAGTTTAAATCTACTTGTTTGAAGATACGGTTTCAAATATTAGGCAAAATCTTCATGCTAACATATAATTAACATATTAATTATATATGTCTGTAATCAAATATAGCCTTTAGAAGCCTTAGAGAAAAATTTGGTACTAATTAGTTTTTGAATTATTTTCTATTTTTGAAAGTAATAAAAGCTTTAATAAGCTAAAAAAATCAAGATGAGTCACCTAGTTAAATCTTGTACAATTTTACTGTTTTAAAGTAAAGAAAAGAAACATGTATGACAGAAGGAAAGGATGCTAAGGCAAATGATTTGGTAACACTTTGCAAATTTCTGGGTATTCAGAAAGATCAAAATTTAAAATGATACAACCAAACTAAACAATCTATAAAATACCTGCAGTAAAAACTCATCAAGTATCTGGAAAAATTGTTTCTGAAACCCAGAAAGTAATGTAGCTATCAAGTAGGCTTAAAGGGTGAAGAAACCAGAAGAGAACACTAAAAATTAATGTCACCCATTACATTTCTAAACCTGGTATGAATCCAAAATATACAGTTTGGCTTCAAGCAAAAATCAAATGAATCATCACTGTTAACTAAAAATTAAATAAATACTATGTTAAGTAAGTTTTTTATCCTGTAATACTATGCTTGCATTCCATAGTGAATATTTTGGAATAAGCACAAGGCCTTACATAAGATGAAAGATATTGCTTTAAAAATTAAAAGTAAGCATACTGGATAATACTGTTAAAGGAACCATATTAACTTTCATGGAATTTTTACACATCTGTTATTAAAATCATTTTATGACACTGCTGGTTAGAGTGAAGGTATTTACTATCTATGGTACTGTTAACACAATTCTTATGAGTTTTTCTGTTTCTATGGTAACATGAATTATAAGGTTCAATGAAGCTGGATTCGGTAATGTGTATTTTTCTGTTATTCAAGGTGAAAAGGAAATGAAACATTTCTAACATTCATAAACTGCAGCAAATGTCTGAATTCTATTTAGAGATAAGATGATAATTACTAAAGTAATTAGAATTCTTCCTGGATGGAATTATTTTGCTCACAGTGGAAATTTAGATTTGAGAGTGAAAGCAGGGGCCACAGTATATTCAACATCAATAATTAATTACAGCCCAAACCAATCCGCCATTCTGATACCTTGGAACAGACTATACCTTCTTCTTTCTGCTTCTGACTACAATAGGAAAGAAAACTGGTCTCCTGCCCCCATCCCTTAAGTCAGAAAGATAAAGTAGGTGAAATCATTTTATTCAAGAGAAAATCCAATTACAGAAATAATCAACTTTTCCCTCTTGCTTTATTTTTTCATATTTGAAAGGGCATTCACATTAGCAGAACCAATTAAAAGAATATCAGGACAGGGCAAAAACCACAAAGTTGGGTAAATTTTTTAAATCTTTTAAAATTAAACTTTGGAGAAAACCACCTATTAAAATTTTACAGACTCAAACCCAGATCACAGCATTCTTTAATGGGAAAGTATAATTGGAAGTGACTAAACACCAGGTCTCAGGAAGAATAATTTATGAAATTATAAAGTCATAATGCAGCTGCTTCTAATACCTAGTTCATTATTAATAAGAAATCAGGCTAATTATTATTTTTAATGGATGTCTTCTCAAGAAATAACACTCAGAGGCATTACATTTCATCTGGGTGTGGTGGTTACACCTGTAATCCCAGATACCCAAGAGGCACAGATCAGAAAGATCATGGTTTGACAAATGCAGTAATATTATTGGACATGGGTTACACACTAAGGGGAGAACACCCATGGGAGAAATAGGGGAAGGGAAGGAAACCTAAAACTTGAATATGGCTGATGTGCCCACTGTAGACTAGCAAATACAGTAATCTCAAACTGGCAGAGGCCACTATGGGAAGGTGACCAGGAAGTAGTGAAGAGGTCTGGTAGAGATGAACCAATGTGGGTTGTAATACACATGTGCATGGAAGCAACGCTAGGAATCTCTCTATATAGATATCTCTATCTCCAGCTAGCAAAAATGTTATGTCTTTCTTGTTATCTCTTATGTTTTCTCTGCAACAAAATTGGAGTATAAGAGGGCAGAACAGGCTCTGCCTAGAAGTAGGGGGTGGAGGGGAGGAGGAAAGGGGGGCATTGGACAGGGGGAGTGGTGACCCAAATAATGTATCTACATATGAATAATAATAATAATAAAAATAAAAGTTCATGGTTTGAGGCTAGCCCAGGCAAAAAGTTAGAGAAACCTCATCTCACCTAATGATCCAAGTCTGGTACTATGACATCTATCAGAATCCCAGCTGAGAGGCATAAGTAGGATGATTGGAATTTGAGGCTAGCCCTAGGCAAAAATTTGAGACCCTACCTGAAAAACAACAAAAGCAAAAAAGGGCTGAGGGTGTGGTTCTAGTGATAGAGAGCTGCCTAGCAAGCACAAAGCTCTGAATTCAAACCCCTATACTACAAAAAAAACCAAACCAAAACAAAAAAATCCCCAAAAAACCACAAATATAATACTGAATATGGATCTATAAATAGGAGTGTGTGTGTGTGTGTGTGTGTGTGTGTGTAGAGAAAGAGAGACATATATGGAGACTAGAAGCTACACATATGTAATAGAAATTATAAAATCCACTAAATCAAATCTAATTACTTTACTCTTTAGGAGTTGGACTCATTACATCATTGTTTTTTAAATTCAGTGTACTCTAATGAAATCACGGGTTGGGAAACTATGGCCCATGTGCCAAATTTAGCTTTTGCTTGTTTTGTAAATATTCCTACACTCTGCAGTCACCTAACCAGTAGTCAAGTTCCCAATAAAGGCAAGGGATGAAGGTGAAGTACTTGGGAGGGCGGGGAGATGGACAAAGATCTGAGTAAGTGAATTTAACACAGCAACAGGCTGTCTTCAATTATTTGTGACTGCCCCTTGTGGTGACTGATTGATTCTCAATATTTTACTCTGAAGTTCTGGAAGCTAACAATGGCAGGGAGGGGAAGTGGAGAGTCGCTGGGCTTTGTAAATGACAGCCCTCTCTAGGGGAAAGTTTAAACAAACTGGCACTGGATCAACTTACAATGATGACATCATTTCTTGAGGGAACACTTTTCTAAAAAAAAAAAAAAAGGTGTGTTAGTTAACTAAGAGTTGATTCATCTTAAATTATTTTTTGGAGGTACTGGAGTTTGAACTCAGGCTTCACACTTACAAGGCAGGTACTAATATTAGTTGATGCATGCCCCCGGCTTCACTTTAAATTTCGATGTCTAGAAATAATTCAAATGTTGAGGCTAGGTTAACACTCATAGTAAATAATGAGTTTATGGGCAAATTTGAGTTGATATTTGGGGAAAAGGGTGAATACGGAGTGTGGGAAGTCAAGGCAAGGTTTATGCAGGAGATGAAGCGGGGTTCTAGATGATTTGGGGTCATGGTTGCTTACTTCTGGTCTTGAAGACATGAGTCCCATGGTTCTGAAATCATTTGTTCACAGGGTGACATGTTCTGGACAAGGTCTCACATGTGAACATCCTGCAGGGCTATTGTGGCAGAGGGATAGCAGGTGGCTACCAGCCTTTGCCACATGATACTCACAGGCAGTGTGCCTGTTCATTACACACTGTAGTTTTGATGTCAAGGGCCTGTTACTTTTTCAGATGCTGCCTGTTGGATCCCCACTGGGGCCAAATCTCCACCTTGGAAAAGCTACACTGCTCCATCTCCTGCCATGTCTGGCTGGTCCTCACTGTGGTTACTTCCCAGTCCCCAGACCACAGTCCTGCCTACCATGCCTCACTGTCCCCAAAAGCACAGAGTAATCGGTGGCTCTGCCTGCCTCTGGGTAATTGAGTCAAGTCTGCTTGGCTCCTGACACCACAGCTGGTCCAGGTAGCCTGCTGACCTCTTGTCACACCCCTGGTCAGCAGTGCTGTTCGGCTGAGTGCTACTGATCCTAAATCAGGAAAAGTCACCACATCAGGGAACATCAGGGCACAATAATCCCTAAGTCATCATTTACGGAAGAAAGTAGCATTTGTCACACAGGAACTAGCTCACTACTGTGTTGAAATCCTGGCATTTTCTAACCCCAGCCTTTCCAAACCTAGAATAAGTACTATTGCTAAAAGTTATTGAATGCTTATTTTGCCAGACACTCTTTGAAGTGCTTGTCATCTACTGACTCATCTACTCCTCAGAGTAATCACTGATACAGGCAATATTTTCCTTGTTATAAATGTGGCAATGGAATGTGCAGAGGTTAAGTGACCTGTAGATCGAACAGCAATATATGGCAGAGCCTTACGGTCCATTTTCAGTCTTAAATGAGAAGCTGCCTTCCACTCATGGATGGTGAATATTGAGTAGTACCCAATGCATTTGTTCCAAAAAGGCCCCCAAACCAATGACCAACAGATGCCAATGCACAGTGACCTGTCTGGGACTCTTGTCTAGAAGCATGAGTGCTGTCTGATAACTCACAGCTACTAAATAAAAATACCCACTGAACGTATCTTTACATTCCTATTATGAGATGATGACTGTCATGTTAAAACACAAGGGCACTGAGGATAAGGTCACTTGTCCATGGTCACAGACCTAGTGTGCAGTAGAGAAGGACTGGGATTAGGAACTCCAGCTCCCAGGGCTTTATTTATGCATTTATCATTTTAGCCAAGGAAAGGAAATAGAGAAAAAAATCCTCACCAGATAGAATATCTGTGCTAACAGCCAACAAAAAGATCACAAAAGCTCAGATTTTATCACACTCATTTTCAATGGTGCCAAAATGAGGAAAAGAGAGACACGACTTTGTGAGACTAGAACCATTAATAGAACCATCTCACCATGGCTTGAAGAGAAAACAAAATTGTGTTAATTTTTAACACTTTATATCATGTCCCAAATCCCACAAGGTCTAGGAAGTAGCACTGACTACATTGCTTTTGGCAAAGGAATCCAAGGAACCTTTGGATCACTACAGCAGTGCAGGATACTGAGTTCCACACAGCTCACAGCCTGGACACAAAGTAAAGCATCTCTGCTACTTACATAATCCAGATTCACCTCATGGATACAAAGACCCATGAGGGGCCACATGCTCATTGTCCTTTCTATGTTCTCTCACCTCTAGCATCCCCTCAGAAGTTCACAGTGAAACTCAATCTCCAAGGCTATGGCCTTTGGGAGGTAGTTAAATCATAAGGGATTAGCACTCTTGAAAAAAGGCTCAAGGTTGAAAGGAGCATTCTCCTTTACTCTCTGTCCTTTCTGTGTGAGAATGCTTAACCAAGTATGAGGAAGGTATTTTCACCAGACACTGAACCTGCAGGTGCCTTGATCTTGGACTTTTCAACCTCTACAACTGTGAGAAATAAATTTCTGTTGTTTATAAATTTCCCAGTCACAGGTACTTTGTTATAGTAGCTGGGAGGGACTTAGAAACATCAAAACAAACTCCTGAAAGGAGGTGATATGTTTACTTTGCAGAGGTTCAGAAAGGTGAAGTATTTGCACAGAGAAATCAGGAGTTGACCACTAATGACTGCCTCTCGAACTTGCTAACTAAATAATCCTTAGGAATTATTTTGAGTAATCAATAATTTTATTAGCCATTCATATTAATTAATCATCAATTATAGCAATTTAATATAGCTAATTTTATTAATAATTTTTGCATGTGCAAAAGAGTTTTAGAATAGAATCTTAGAGAATCTAGTCAAGAACAAAATCTGTGAGTGACCATCAATGTATGTAACAGATATATAATGAGTGTGATGCTACCAGCCAGGCGTCAGGTCTATCAGGATGAGGCCTTGATTTAAAGATAGTTGGATTCAATCCAACCAATGATAGGTGAGGATCTACACAACTGAAAGGCAAGAAACAGAATCCACATACAATGGCGACTGAGCAGCACTTCCAGCCACCAGTGGAAGTGAGCAGTGCTGTGACATGATGGCAGTGCCAGGTATAGTACAATACAAGGGAGGAGGCGGAATGAGGAGAATCGAGAGCTCAGAGAAGACACAATTTGGAATAAGACAGGGGGAGAGAGAAAAGACACTAGAAAAACCTCAGGTCTGTGGGTCCGGCCAGGTATGGAAGAGCCACAGATGGCACCTCTGATGTGGAATGTGCTCCAACAAACTGAAAGATTTGTTGTAAATCATGAGGATTTACATTCCACAGCAATCTATCTATCTAGCTCCAATTACAGCTGATATGACCAATTTCTGACCAAAAAAATGGAGTCTAACCCCTGGGTATAAAACATAACTAATGATCACATCTGCTTCATGCCCTAAGTTACCTCCTGCTGAAGACAAAGTCACATTCTCCATGTAGCCATCAAGAAAAATCATCTTTAAATACATGACAATATTTTTATTAAAACAGGAACATAAATAAACTGAATGCAATAAAAAGCCACAGGAAATGACTCTGAGATAGCAAAATGCAAAGGAAGCACTGCCACTAAAACAGGGTGTGGAGGAATTTTCAGAGGTGTGAGGAGACCCATGTTGAATGAACACAGCTATGACATTCCTCAGTGTGTTGGAAACGCTTCATAGGAAAAGGGAATGGCAGGCAGCCTCAGAAGCGTCCCCAAGAATGCTGCCCAGGAAGTACCCCTAAGGAGAATGAAAATGGAATGAAGAACCAAAACCACACTGACTTTTGGTGTCTGAAAGAAATTTAAATGGTCACATCATTCCCCTACACTGGAGTCATCTTTTTGAAAGTGTGGAAAGAAAAGCTCTATAGGCTTGGTGACTTCCCAAGGAAAAATGGACTTAATGCTGCAATTAAGCTGATAATGAATTTAATGGGTATCAGAGAAGAAGGACCTTCTATATCCTAACACTGTGCTCTGTGTTAAAAACAAAAGACTTCTGCACTGCTGCTTCCCTGGAAAACCTCATTAAGAGATATGGAGTGCACACCAGCATGGAGCACTTTGTGCTAGCACTGTTTAAAATGCTCTCCATATAACTCATTTGTCCTCCCAGCACTCCTAAAAGGTAGGTACTGTTTTCTTTTCTTTTGTGACACTGTGTTTGAACTCGGGGTCTCATGCTTGCTATGCAGGCTCACCTATCACTTGAACCACTCCACAAGCCCCCTCAACCCCCCATTTTTTTTCATGATGGGTTTTTTTGAGGTAGGGTCTCGTGAACTATTTGCCTGAGGCTGGCTTCTAACTGAGATCCTCCTGATCTCTGCCTCCTGAGTAACTAGGATTACAGGTGTGAGCCACTGGCACCCAGTGGTAGGTATCGTTTTTAATCTATAATTTTAAAATATTACTTTGTTGATGTATAGAGAGGTTATGTGATTTCTCCTAGGTCACAAGCCTAGCAATATCTGAGCTGCAATTTGAATACAGGCAGCTTGGTTCCAAATTCTGAGCTCTTCACTGAGTAATTTACTGTCTCACAGGAAATAAATACAATTCCAGGCACAATAAGTAAGTAAGCACTCTACAATAAATCCTGTAACATACAATGCAGAAGGGAGAGAGATGCAAGAAGCCTTAGTGAATGTAGCATTTGAACTCAGAATTTACAGTTAGAGAAGATAAGACAGAGGCAGGTGGTCGTGGCCAAGTCTAGTGAAAATACAATGTAAGCAACATGTCTGATTTTAAGCTTTCTAATAGTTACATTGAAAAAAGCAACAAGTTAAATTAGTATTTGTTTTTATTTTTGTGGTACAAGGCCTTGTGCTTGCTAGACAGGTACTGTATCTCTTGAGTCATGTCCTCACTCCTTTTTCTTTTAGCTTGTTTTTTACATAGGGTCTTATGTTTTTGCCTGGGCCATCTTCTATCTTCACCTCCCAAGTAGGTGGTATTACAGATGAGTACCACCATACCTGGTTTGTTCTTCAGATGGGGTCTTACTGACTTTTGCCTAGGCTGGCTTTGAACTATGATCTTGTCTCTGCCGCCCAAGTAGCAGGGATTACAGAAGTGTACCAACATGCCCAATTTGAAAGGAGGAACTTTAAAACCAATAGATATGAGCTATCATTTCAATATGCAGTCCATATAAAAACTAATGAGTGATTACATCCTCTTTTATTCATATTAAAATCCTGAAATCTGGT